CCATCACTGGCGCCACCCGTGGGACTCGTCACAAAAAGCTTTTGTGCTCGGAGTCCGTAATAGAGAAAAAAAGTGGATTGAGAAAGTAAAAAAACAAAAAAAAAGAGGAGGGATACGAAGTGAGAATCAAGAAGAAGAATAAAAAATTGAAAAGTCAGAGAAGGAGAAAAGAATAGGAAAGGGAGGAGTGGTCTTCTTCACAGATTCGGCGACAAGCACTGACAGGCCTTTGGCGAGCACGAGCACCGGCGAGCCACTGGCGAGCCTCCCTTCCTGGAGGCGAGCCGATCCAACACGCTAGCGAGCCACTCCCGGTCCTCTCCGGCGAGCCCCTCCTTCCGTCAGTCCTCCACCGACGAGCCACTCCTTCCATCGGTCCACAACCAGGTCCAACGAGCCTCCTCCTTCCTTCGGCGAGCTATAGGCAGCGGCAGCGAGCTAGAGTCTGGACCGCCGGCGAGTCGCGGACCGCGGGGATTTTTCCGGCGAGCAGCGAGCAAGCGACAGGGCCGCCGGCAGTACCCTCCACCAGGGTCGGTGAGCATCCTCCCAGATCGGCGAGCCCTCAAACGTGCTTCACCTCCGGCGGGATCCAGCGGCAAACCACAGCCCCTCTAGCATCGACCCAGCGGCGAGCCATACCACTAGCAATTGTCCACTCCGGCGAACCTTGGCCCGGAAGAAGCGAGCTCCAACTTCCTCCGCCGTGGCAGCGGCCGTGATTGCTCCAGTTCGTCCATCAAGCTCCCTCTACTCCGGCAAGCCTCATCGACAACAAGTGGGCTTTCATCTTCGACGAGATCCGGCGAGCTCCGACTTCCTCCGTCGAACCACGGACGGAAATAGCGAGCCCCTCTCTGCAGTTCTCTCCGCGTTCCTCTCCAGTGGTCCTCTCCACGGTCCTCTCTGCGGTCCTCTCTAGTGGTCCTCTCCATCAGTCCTCTACGCGGTCCTCTTTAGCGAGCCAAGGATAGATCTAGACTCAAGTGGAACGCTCCAGTTTCATGGGTCCCTCAAATAGACGGATTTGGCCTTTAGTGGACCGCTCCAGCTTCATGGGTCCCTCAAATGGACGGATTTAGCCTCAAGTGGACCGCTCCACCTTCATGGGTCTCTCCAATGGATGGATCTATCCTCAAGTGGAACGCTCCAGCCTTATGGGTCCCTCAAATGGACAGATTTAGCCTCAAGTGGACCGCTCCACCTTCATGGGTCTCTCAAATGGATGGATTTTGCCTCAAGTGGACCGCTCCATCCTCATAGGTCCTTCACATGGACGGATTTTGCCTCAAGTGGACCGCTCCATCCTCATATGTCCTTCCCATGGACAGATTTGGCCTCCAATGGACCGCTCCATCTTCATGGCTCCTTCACATGGACGGATTTGGCTTCTAGTGGACCGCTCCATCTTCATAGGTCCTTTACATGGACAGATTTGGCCTCCAGTGGACCACTCCATCTTCATAGGTCCTTCACATGGACGAATTTGGCCTCCAGTGGACCGCTCCATCTTCATGAGTCCCTCGGGATGGACGGATTTGACCTCCAGTGGATTGCTTCAACTTCATGAGTCCCTCAGATGGATGGATTTGGCCTCCGGTGGACCGCTCCATTCTTCACGGGTCCCTCAATTGGACGGATTAAGCCTCTGGTTGTCCGTTCCAAGTTGTATAAGTTGATAAAAGTAATAATGTAAAAGAATAGAAAGTAAAGATCAGTAATTAGATCAAGTTAAGTGATCGGATTACTGGAGATAGTCATAGACTCCCGTACCGAGGTTGAGGAAAGATAGGATAAGGAAAAGGATTGGGGCTTAAGGATGGGCTAAAGCCCAGCCCATTAAGAACAAGCTACCCAAAAGGAAGGAATCCTATGAAGAGATTGGAGTAGGCCCACCCTCAGTTCGAGGGACAGGGACAAAGAGAAAGGTGGACGGAGATTGTCTATAACTCAATAAGAGCGGAGCGCCCAACCACCGTCAGATAGATATCGGGTGGGGGTTTAGAGGCTCCCAAAGAATATTGAAAAAAGAGTCCCGAGAAAAGCCCTCTTCCTAGAGGCAACGAATCCCTGAGAGAAGTCCTCTCCCAAGAGGTACCGAGCTCCGAGAAAAGTCCTCTTTCCCGAGGCACCAAGTCCTCTTCCAAAGAGGCACCAAGTCCTTAGAAAGTCCTCTTCTAAGAGGCCCAAATCCCCGAGAAAAGTCCTCTTCCAAGAGGCATCGAGTCCTCTTCCCGAGGAACTAAAAAGAAAGAAAAGTCCTCTCTCAAAGAGGCACAAAGTCCCGAGAAGGTCCTCTTCTAAAGAGGCACAAAGTCTTGAGAAAGTCCTCTTCCAAAGAGGCACAAAATCCCGAGAAAGTCCTATTCCAAAGAGGCACAATGCCCTGAGAAATTCCTCTTCCAAAGAGGCACAAAGCCCCGAGAAAGTCCTCTTCCAAAGAGGCACAAAGTCCCGAGAAGGTCCTCTTCTAAAAGGCACAAAGTCCCGAGAAGGTCCTCTTCCAAAGAGGCACAAAGTCCCGAGAAGGTCCTCTTCCAAAGAGGCACAAAGTCCCGAGAAAGTCCTCTTCTAAAGAGACACAGACCCGAGAAAGTCCTCTTCCAAATATGCACAAAGTCCCGAGAAGGCCCTCTTCTAAAGAGGCTCAAATCCCTGAGAAAAGTCCTCTTCCAAGAGGCACCAAATCCCCGAGAAAAGTCCTCTTTCGAGAGACACTAAGTTAAATCCTTACCCACGAGGTGACGAGGCCCTCCAAAAAAGAAAGTCCTCTTGTCGAGGTTCCAAGAAAAGTTTTATCCCATGAGGCAACCCACCGAGTCATATAATTTTGAATCTGTCTCGTTCCCCGAGACAGACTCAAAACTAGGGGGGCATGTGATGGATTAGGGATTTTTCCTAATCCAATATTATTTGAACAGTGCAAGAAAGCCCAATTTTATCTGGCCCAAGATATAAATCAGATAAATTATTCAAGACAAAACCAGAGATATATGGACAGAAGAATATATTTGAGGTGATATAATAATATTCCGTGGAGCCCATATACAAAACATGTGCACATGGAGGTGACATGGCCACCTCATGACATTGTTGGGGATGCATGCATGTACTCCCCTTTAAATACAAGGCTACGCAGGACGGAAGGAGGGAGGCCAAGGCTAGATTCCTACAAGTTCCTACTACTATATTCTTCATTCTTCTTCTTCTTTTAGCTTGGAGCTCCATTAATGACTCCAAGTTCCTACAATGATGTATATGTAAACTCCCCTGAGATTAATAAAAGTTCCTCCCCCTTTGGCATGGCACCGCCTAAAAAGGCCCGTGGTTTTCTCCCGATTTGGGTTTCCACGTATAAATACTTTCTCTCCGCTTTATTTACTTACTTAATTTCCAGATTTCGCTATTCGGTGCGGTGCCGACCCAGTACCGATTTCATCGGGTCGACGCCCCGAAAAAGCGGTTTCCATCATTATGTTAACTTTTAAACTTGGCAAAATGGTTGATCAGGTCGGGTTCGAGTTTGGTATTATCGGATTTAGATTATTTCATATTTGGGTCACTTCTGGTTCGAGTCTAAAAGTGTTTGTTTATGACTCAAAGTTATCGAATTCAGGTTAACCAAAGAGACGTATATAAAAATTAAAAATTTTGTTAGTTAGAAATGGATTGATTTACGGATAAAATTACTTATTTACTACCACTCCCAGCAAGACGCAAGGGGACATAGCTTCAATCCATTATTTAAGGATAAAATTACTTATTTACCACTCTCGTATAAAAAAGGTGGATAAAGAAAGGGTCTTAAATAAGAAAAAACGTTGAAAATATATTAAATAAGAGTTTCGTACTTTTATTCTTGAAATTGGAGTTAAAATGCATTTACATTACTAATCATGATTATATATATACATTACCAAAAAGTATACTAAAATGCTCATGTACAATGTCAAATTATTATAGTGTGAACTTCTATTTAAAGAATAAAAATATGAAACTTTTATTTTGATAATTTATTTATTTTACGCTTATTTAAGTGAACATAGCAAAAATGACATTGATTTAGCAACACTCATTTTAATATCATAAAATATCAAAAATCATATTCTAGTATTCAAATTTGAAAAATTCAAAAATCTACTTCCTTCATTCCTAAAAGATTGTTATAGTTTGACTTTTTGGTTAAACTATGTCACTCTTTAACCATTAATTAAATATAATTTAAAATAATTAAAGGTCTCTCAAATGGATCAAAGTCAAGGCCTCACAAATGTTCACTTTGAATCAGAGAGTGAGACGGTCAAGTTTTAGCCTCTAATTTGACCAAGTCTATTTTATTTCCCACCCATTTTTACTATCTTATTGCATTGTTTTCATATGCTTCAGTCTCGTTATCGTTGAATTTTTAGCTACATTCATGAAAATAGGAATCAATTAAGCTGTCTACGCCTCGACTAAAGTTGAGGGTGTTGGTCGTGTTTACTTTGAGTGGTATGATACTATGATGTACATGTGACGGGTAATAACCCATGGACACCACCCGGTTGGTTCGTCCGACTGAGTGGTGATCGAAGTGACGGAACGTATCCTTCCCAGATCGGGTCGTGAGACCGGTTGGTTGGAAGGTTTGGGCGCACGACAGGTGCAGATTAGATTCTCGAAGTACTCTTATGCAACCGGTCAAACAAATGACTGGTTGGATAACCAGAGACGTGCTTAATTATGTTATAAATACCCTTAAAATCCTCATTTGTGAGGTATGTTTTTAATGAACCTACACGGCTTGTACTTTGTAATAGTCCTAATATTATCAATAACAAACCGGGTTACAGGTGTTTCCACCTACAACCCTTCCGATTACTTATACTTAACATTTGCGTGGTTATTTGCACCATCAACATGTACCCCTGACTTTTTGAGCTCATTAATATAATGGTTTTTAGTTGGTTATAAAAAATTACATTATAATTAAATATACATTTTCCATAGTATTTTTGACTAAAGAATGTCATAATATAACAAAAAATTTTAATCGTGCAAATCTTTTAATGAGGCAAGAGTATCTACCCCTAGGCCCTAACCCGGATCCATGTTGTTTTGGTTTGTATTCGACCCGTCTCGTCTCCCATAGAATATAGCTGACCCATTACAAATAACACCACAGGAGAGGAAAGAGACATCTAGAAGCGCCGCAGACAGTTAAAGGAGACGAGGCTTCTGGAGATAGATTTCCCGAATTCCGAGTTTTGAAGATGAAGCATTTTGAACTGGCCGACATGGATGAGCTTGGATCGACCGTGGCTATGGACGTGGACGAGGTAGAGGCGCTCGATATCTTCAGCGATGGCCCTCTCGGCGGCACCGCCGATCATCACCGCCTTGCAGATGCCGACTTTTTCAACTCATTCGAAGACGATTTCGATGATCTCGACATCAACTGAGGCAGTATTTTCACGGAATTTCACCCCCCCTATGTTGTCTCCCTGCTAAAACAATCCTGCCGTTTTTCATATTTATGAATGTCCCCGGATTCTGCAGAAGAAGAATAACTGGAAGTTGGAAATTTTAAAAATTGAAATTTCGGTTGCTAGCTGTGTTATTCTGCTGCCAGTTTATTCATTGCTTTGCCTGAAGTAATTATGTGTAAGGTTTAATTAATGTCTTCGATTTCATCTGTGAAAATTATTGCCTTCTAGGTTAAATCGCTTTGTGTTTAGTGAATTATGTGATAAGTTCACTTTGTTTATTATAAATTTTGGTGGCTTGTTTCTTAATAATACTCTGTATAATGGTTAAGATAGAGCAAAAATCAAATGCAGTGTAAACATCTCAGTATTAAGGAACAGATTTTAGGGTTTACACTGGAGTAGGGATTTAAGGATGAGAACATTACAGCTTTTATCCTGTTTAGGGGAGGTTTAAAACAGCTAGATTAGTGGGCACATGATGAAGTCTCTGTGATGGTAATGGGGAGGGAATGCTTGGCTCAGTAGTTTTGCTGATTATGCTAAACCTGTCCCAGCCCCCATCCCAAAAGTGAAGTGTCCTTCTGCCTGATTTGCACTTTGCAGAGTGTTCCACTATATTTACCTGGTATGAACCAAACAGCACCTTCGAAGACCAGAAAGGTGTGCACCTGTGTGCAGCGTGTCTTGAGATTTTCATCTTGTCAATTGTGGGGGTACGTTCAATCTTCTCGTATGTGTTCACTACTTCACTCTTAGTGTTTGATTCAATTACACTATGTTTGGTTCAAGGAATTTGAAAGGGAAAGGAAACGAAAATGAGAAGAAAAACAATTCTCTTGTTTGGTTAGAGAGGGAAAAAAAAGAAAAGTGGAAGGAAAAGATAATTAGAAGGCAAAACGTACTAAGAGGGGGGGGCAAATTCCTTCCATTTTAGTGAGGTGAATGAAGGAAGCTCATTCTCTTTTTTTTTCCTTCCAAATTCTCTGAACCAAACATAGTGTTAATGTTCTTACATGAAGTATTTGATATCTGTTGAGTTGTTATAAAATGGGCTGATGAAGGTTAATACGGAGTAATGCATTTTCTTAAGTTGTCAAATTCCTTCCATTTTATGATGCCTTCTCCCGAAGTTAAATTCCACCACTTGCTCGAACTCTAGACTTCTCCTAGTAAACATCTTACGAGAACATCTAAACACTTTAGTAAGGAGTTAAACCCAATCGAGTTATTCCCGCTTGACCGAAATTGTACTTCTGGTCACTTTAGTGCTCGTCTGTTAATATTATGTTTAGTTTATGAATATATTTCTTAGAACCTTCATCAAACACCAAGCCATACTTTGTGGTGCTTTTCTGCTTCATCACATTGGAGATGGTTGTGTTGGATACACGGTATGAAGAAGGCTTCGTCTATGAATTGTGCCCTAACTTATCATTGCCCAACTTTCTCTTTGATTGAGTGCATTTGAGGTCATCTTCGGAAGTAACCGAGGAAGGGGAAGAAGTAGAGCTCCTTACATCATATTGTGGCATTGGTGTACACTGGTTTTTCTTCATTGGGACTATTTCTTAGATGGTCTTTTTCCTATTAAGGTTTTGATGAGGCATGTTGTCATTATGAACAAGGGTGGGGGCTATTTGATAAAAGACTTCCTATTAAGGTTTTGATGAGGCATGTTGTCATTAGAGTTTGGGCTATTAAAAAAACTAACGGTATTAGAAATATTGTTCCCACAGAGCCGGTCAAAGGCCGCGATGGTCTGAGTAGAAGACCATATGCACAATATGTTAAATTAGACCTCTCTAAATTTTTATGTTTACTATTTACATAATCATTTATATTTTCTCTACATGCATTAACTAATGTCATTCGTAGAGTTTTTGATATACATCCTCTATCTTAGAATTATTCGTCCAGTATAATTTTTTTGAGTAAATTAAAATTAGATAAATTTTAATCTTCAAATACATTAAGTTTGCATTACATATGTAATTTCTCCGTCTCAATTTAAATTGCTTATTTCGGTTTATGATGTTTGATAGAATTTTTTTTGCAATCTTTTTATATGAAAAATGGTGTAGAATTAAAAAATAAAAATAACATATTTAAAAACTACATTAAAAGATTTACAAAATTAGTACTGACACGATTATATTAATTTATTAAATTTCTAACGAAAATATGGAAAAAAAGTGAATGAGGTTGACTCTGTGAATAGTAAATAAATAATTTAATTTGAAATGAAAAGAGTAATATAATAAAATAAAATTCTTATAGTTTTCACCTAGATAAATTTATGAAAATTATTTTTGCACTAATATCTAATAAAAATTTTACTTCATATTTAATTGATTATCAAAGTTTATAAAAATTAACTCAAAAAAAGTAAAACTCGATGAATACTTTTGGACAAAGGTAGTACATTTTTTCATTATTACCTATATTCCTATTTATTTTTCCATTTTTCATTTTTTATTATTTTTAAGAAAGGTGAAATTGTGTACGGAGTAATAGATACCCTATCTGTCCTACTTTAAATTGCATGTTTTCTTTTTTTCCGTCCCAAAATAAGTTGCATGTTTCTTGTTATCGTAAGCTTTTAAGAGTAAAGTATCTAAACTACTTTTGAAATAAGTTATTCTTATTTACCTTATCTTTTCATTCATCATCACCCTTCCTAAAAAGTAATGACAATATTAGAAAGTCAAGTCTATTTTTTTTCTTCCTTAAATATGCCTCAAAATCAGAACGAATAAATTAAAATGGGACGGAGAGCGTTTGTGTTTAGAGGAGAAAAAATTGATGTAAATGAAAAAATTAATTAATGACAACTAAAAAAGAAAATGAGAAGACATAAAAAGGAATAGGAGTTTATAAATATTATTTTTAATTTTACACGAATATCGAAATAATAACTAGTACAATCTTTTTTTGGGAGAAAGGGAATACATGATGTATTGTGATATAAGACCATGCTTGAATGATTCTAAATAGTTGTTACCATGAATGCACCCAAGTTTCGCACGTGACACACACAAACAAACCGCAACCAAGATAAAAATTGGGCCCAAAGGAAGTTGTGACGGATTCGTAATGAATGGCTTCCTTAGTAATTAGAGGCCTTTGGGCCGGGCCTTTGAAAAGGAATAGGAGTATTTCGTGACGTGCAAGTTAGGTTTTCCCAATCCTCCAATAACATAAATCTATAAATACACCTTTTAAAACATTCCATTTTTTTCTCCATTCACACAATAAATCTTCTCTCTCTCACTCCAAGAAAAGAAAAAACAAGAAAATAAGAGAGAATGTCACATAGGAATCCAAGGAATAGAAGAAGCACCTATATGCCCTACTCTTCAAGGTACCCTCCTTATGATTCTTCTTCCTCCTCTTATATTGGCGCCATAAAGTGTGGACTCATAGTTCATCGGCGTACGGGCCGGATTCGCCAGCCCGAAGACCGGGCCGTCGTGGACGAGTGTTTTGAGACGAGGACACATTGTTGTGGCGCTGTAGGGGAAGACGAAGCGCAGGCCATGTGCTCGATATGCCATCTCGAGTACCGAAACGAGGAGACAATCGCGAGGCTCCGGTGCGGGCACGAGTATCATCCAGAGTGCATCAAGAAGTGGTTTTCGAGGAAGAAGACGTGCCCTTATTGTAGAGCGTCACCAATCGATCCGTGCCGCGTGCCCTAGCTAATTAATGATTAGGCACAAATCTCAATTGGTTATTATTAGTTTCATACTCTGTGATTTAAACGTTGCCATTGGATAGTATTTTCAAAATGTTAAAGGTGTTGCTGAATGGTTTTTTTTTTCATTTTGCATGGTAAGTTATGGGATCCCACAAGAGGGTATTCTTTTTCTCAAAAGACAATAATATTGATGGGAATGATGGCGTACACATATAGTTTATTTTTGGGCTCTTTAAACATTTTATTTAAAAAATCAATCCTTTAATTTTTTTTCAAATAGTCCTCTCTCAATTTCAATGATTTATGATTTGTTTTACGGAGTAAAAAATAGATGGACCAAATGCAAAACTTTACTTATTTTACATGGACTAAAAATATAATTAACCCTACTAATTAACTGCTATAGTTTGTTATCATTGCCAACTAAAGCCTGAAATTTGGAGCTTGTGTAAGAACTTAAAGGCATAGTATTTGCTTGATGATGGATTTAGCGTTTAATTATAACATTTTAAAGTTAATCTGCAGTTTCTACACATTAAAAAATATCCTTAGCATCTAAGAGAAAAGAAATATAAATCAATTAAATAACTTATTATATCATTTAAAATGGATATATAAAGTATTTGTAATGACTTTATTTGATATATATAAAGGAGGTTGGTGGACTTTACGAAATTGCCAAAAGCAAGAAATGTCAAGATAAAATTTGAATTTGATTCCTAACAGTTGTGCTGTGTATAAAGCCTCTACAAGTACCAGATGCACACTCTAATCTTTGCCACCAACGATCAAAATCTAATTTATCTCTTTTCAGTAAACGTTTAGCCGGGTCTGAAAGAACTTGGAAAATGAAGCCCGCTCATCTTTTTTTTCTAAATTAAAAGAGCTAAGATATTTTAAACATAATGTTATGAGTATGCTCATTCTCTTCAGAACGAAAGTAGGGCGTAGGGGAGTGGAGAGCTAGAGGAAGAACGAATGGCACAACGGGAGAGTAAATATGTCGTTTCCTCATTATTTTAATCACAAAATGGAAAGAAATCAATTTTCTAATTTTATTTTACTTTTATCTTACTCTTTTCTCCCCTTAAAAAAGAATCTTACTTATTTCTCTCCTAAGGCCATGTTCTTCCCAACTTATTTTTTTTACTTACTACATATTCTTATTAGAATCAAATTAGTTCAAATCAGATCAGAAATAGGTTAAATGTAATCACATTCAAATCAGATCAAACCACATCAGAATTTTCAGGTGAAGAGAACTCGCCATTCCTTTAACCAAACATAATACTACCTCCGTCCCCCAGTTTTTGTCTACTTTTGACTTTAGGAACTATTCATCTAAGCACTTTGACTCGTCAAATTCTCTCAATGTGTAAGCCTAAATATAGTCATGTGTGATCTTGTTTGATTTGTCTTAACATATAGATTATTAATATATAATTTCTATAATTTTTTAATATACAAATTACAAGATAAAATGGATTAAAGAAGTGCATTGGATGGTGTGCCAAAACGTAAGTGGACAAAGAGAGTGGGACGGAGGGAGTACATGATGTATTACGGAGTACTCTTATGATACAAAGATGCATCATTAGAATAACGATTGTGGCCATTATTAAATCCA